TTCTTTTTAAACCTCTGGAATATAGATTATTCTAAGAGTTGTTTTAAAGAAGGTCACAAGTCACTAGAGCCCTCTAACCTCCCTCTCCAAACTCTCCTGTTAGCTGTTTCTGGTCGCGCTCTCCCTGGTCGCTGAGTCACAGGCTTATATAGCTCTGGTAGCCCCTCCCCCTGACTGAGGCTCAGCCAATTAACAGAGGCTTCTAGATTTCAAACCTTTTAGAAGCTCCTTCAAACAAACAAAGCAAACAAACAAACAAACCAAACAGACAAACACAAGCTCAGCACACTGCAAATAACTCCCCCACACACAAACACACACTCCAGACAGCCACTTACCACAAGGGTCCCGTTTTTACTCCTCTTTTACCTGGAGAACTCCCTCTCCAAACTCTCCTGCATGGAGCTCACTGACCGGGCAGGGCTGATTAATCACTTGTGAAGCTGTGCTGCCATGCAGCTTAGAGGGAACTCTGCTGGTATGGCCTAGGAGTGACATTAAAGCATTGCCACAGCAGTGCTGCTGGACCTTTCTGGCAGGGACACCAACAGAGGGGAGTAAAGGGGCAGCAATGATTTAAAAGGGTCTGTGCTCCTGGCTGCCATGTCAGTGTTCAGGAGCCCAGGTCATTCAAATCGCCGCCAGAACCCTGGAGCTACCATTTGCTGGCCATGAGGGACTGGCTGGGAAGGTCTGCCCCTAACCATTCCCCTTCTGCCTGAGAACCTGCCTCATCCAGGGGCCCAGAGTTGTCCCCCTTTCTAAGGATGCCACAGGGTTCAGAGCATTTTGGTAAGTCCAGATGTCTACTTTCACCCCTGAATACACCCTTTGTTGGAGAGGAAGGCAATGTGCCACTGGACCCTTGTTGTCAGTGGACTTCCTTCATCCAATGGGTCCAGAGTCTGGGTTCCTGTGCATGAAATTGACAGATATATATTTAAAAAGCACAATCAAGAAGTGATTTTATGATGATCCATCTAAAACCAGGACGATTCCACTGGTGGAACCAGGGTGAAATCAAGTGTTACTGTTTAGCTTTGATATGGATTATCTAGGTACAAAATAGATAGGAGGTAATTAACACACTCAGTAACCTGTTGCTTTAATATATTCTATTTACAGGAAAATACTTGGCTGATAACTAAAGGAAGCCTATGCAAGTATATGGAAAATCCATATAACCAAGGACTGCTTTGTGTGGAACGGGTTTAAATTACGGTTTAAGGGAAATGAACTAAATCCTGCATTTGGGGCACTTCTGTTGGAAGTGTCAGCGACTTTCAGCATTTTTTCCTGAGAAAACACCGTCTTGACCAGTCCTACAGTATTTACTTCTAGATGTAACATTGGTAATGGTTTTAAAATGTAATTATTGTATTTGTAAATTGTATTCATTGCAGTAAGGCTGTATTTTGGCAGTTAGACACTTGAGTTTTAGCATTTTACCATTCATGAAATGGATGTAATTTAAACTGTGGTATACAAATTTAATAGTAGTACTGTTGAATGGCACAATGCTTACAGAGGTAGATTACATTTTGTCAATATATACGATTTAAATACAATCCTGGTAGCTGTTAAAAAGAAGGGGGTGCCTCATGAAAAGAGAGTTAAGTAAAACCTGCAAACTGATTTACTTTTTCTTCAGTCATTAGTATGTCTTATAATAGTGCTAAATAAAAGGTCTATCTTTAATTGTTTAGCTGATTTAACTCCAAAATAATATTTTAGTAAATATGGAGGTTATAACATATTCCCCTCTCCCCAAAATGAACAACCAAACAAAAAATAAAAACTCAAGGTCCATACTTCTTAAAATACTTATTTCAGACTTCATAACAAATAATGCAACTTTTCCAAATATAGTTTTCTATTTTTATGGACTTTTGCTTTTTCCCAATATTCTGACACTTTACAAATGTATAGATTATTACGTAAGCAAACAATTTGACGGTTAGTGATTACTCTGAGCCTACAGAACACTGGATGTCCACAGATAGTAATTGGGCATATTTTCAGCTACCGCCTCCACTTTTGCAATCCTTTTTGATAGGGGATTTGGGACTACCATATGTAAGATGCTTTACAGCAATGTAAGAAAAACTCCTTGTCTCGATATTTAAGAGCCAAAACAATCCAACATCCCACCCCCTGCAAAATTCACTGGTGAAAGAATGCAATATATTCCTACCCTATAGCCTTGATATAGCAATTTTTATCCGTAGATCATAAAGTTCGTTACACAATTGAAGAAGGATTTCACCCTGAGGAAATGGAGGCACTGAAAACTCAAGTCCTGCCCAAAGGCACAGAGTTGATTCAATGCCAGAATTACAAATAGAGCCCTGGTCTCCTAATTCACAGTCCTTTGTCTTGTCAACTGGTTAATTTTGTGTTGTGCAAAGACTGAGTAGTTACAATGCTTATATTTCAAATAGTTTGAACTGAGAGAGCTAACTCTTGTGTCTAGAATGGATCAGACCAGCAGAACTAGCAAATCTTTCTCACCAGGAGAAACCTTCGAAGTGCTGCCAGTGTACATGTGGCACATGACTTGCCAGGTCCGAGGTTTTATTTATTTACATATTTATTTATTTATTTTGGAAATGTAAAGTTTTTAACATTGACATGGGAGCTAAATTAAAAGATTGTGAAAATGAAACATGAAAATGAGGTTAACAGTTAGTTTGGCAGCTAACTGTGTCCACTGGCCACTTTGTGTGTATGGCGTACAAATGTGTACATGCAGATCTTATACTCAGTTGCCTCATTTGCAGAAGAAAATAGCTGTACTTGGGAAAAATAGTTGCATGTATAAAAGTGGGTGTTTAAAACTGGAGTTCGTGGCTGAAACTTTTGGCCCTAGATGTTTCTTCTGAGATTGGCATAGTCAATCTCAATTCAACTATTCTACTTTTCCTTTGCTTGTGGAACTGAGTTCATGCATGTAAAGAGAGCAGCATGTCAATCAAGATTTTCTATGTGGCTCTCAGATGAGAATTTTTTCTTTAGATAGGAAACTATTTTAAATAAAACATCATTAAACTTTGCAGACTTAACAATGTACAACCTACTAGATGAGCCAGTCTTCAGTAGAAAAGGGATGTTTTGTCTATCTTCACAGTTCCATCATACAAGAGCGTGACGGAATATTAATTTCACAAATCTTCATCTGCTGTGATAAACCAGGTGTCTACATCTTGCTTTTATACTTTGAAAAGTCTCTGAGTGAGGAGCATGTCTCATCATGGATGGATTGTGAAATTTAAAGATGGGCCTGAACTAGGATCTGAGATCCAAACACTCCCTATTCTAGACAAAATTGGGATCCAAATGAAGTTTATATGTTGTGACACAGACCCATCACAGACTGCGTGAAATGCAGTTGAAAAGTATTTCTGAAGTAAAATTGACATGTGTTAGCCTACTTCTGGCAAGCATAATGTTTTCATGGGTGCCATTAATGGCACGTCAGCTGAAATGGTAGAAAGGTAGTTTCTGTCCTGTTTTAATGTAAGAACTGTGCTGTGAGAAAATGAAATCTCTGTTCAAAATTAAACATTAATGTTGTTCTGATGTTGAGGTACACCGATAACCTACAAGTGTATCCATTAATTATGATGTTGGGTACTGCAGAAATATATGCAATATCAAATAATGCTAATTTTCAGCTTTTAAATTCATTACCCATATCTCTAGTGTCTCAAAAGTTGCCAGCAACAGGCTCACAAATGTCAATTGAAAATAAAAACATTGTCATGTACTTGTTGCAGATCATGTATGTCAATAAGTGCTTATTAGCAGCTGAACTTTGAATGCTTTTTTTAAGTGCACCTTTATTTTAAAATGACTGACAAATAAGGAAGAGTGTAGATATTAAAACACTGAGCAGAAACCTAGATTAATAACTCAAAATTACAAATTTGTTGATGTGTACATGATGTGTGCATGTTCCCAAAAATACAATTAAGCTATTAAAATTAATACATCCTCCAAAAATTTAAAAGTGAACATGACAGTATTCCTAAATAAGATATTCACCATTCTAGTTTGATTTTCCCTGACTGGAAATATGACTGTATTGACTGTATAGCTAACATTTGAGGTGGGAACTCAACATCATAAGGCAAGTAATTTAAAAATAAAAACCTATGAGAAAAGTACATTTTTCAAATCAATTTATGAAATATACCACACATTATTCACCAAACTATACTTTAAAAATTGTTATCCACACCAAGAATGTTTTTTAAAAATGTAAATCTTAAACACAGGCAATTCACTTTATATTTTATGCTAAGGAGATTTAGAACTTGATAATAACGAACACAAGTTATGGCAGTTTTTAAATGTTGCTAGAAATAATTCTGCTTATACAGTAAAAGGACCCACCAAGCCTAATGTAGCTTTTGACAAGAGGACAGTGTTCGTGCTGCAGTATGACACACATCCTCAGTAACTATATTAAAAAAAACCACACAACCTCCCTGGTGTGAGCTGAATATGAATACACCAGAGTGGGTTACATAGGAACTGATATAAATATTTTAAAAAAAATTCTGGCTCTTTGTGGACAGAGGTTATCTGTAAATTCAGTTCCCTTCAGAAAGACTCTCACACTAAGTTGTGGTGAGGCTAGCAGAACATACTCACAAAGAAGAGCAAGTATGTGCAGCAACCAGAACTTTGTTTTAAAGAACTGAATGATTGATTTACCCAAATCTATAATTATATTAATCATGAAAACTTTCATTATAAAAAAATCACAGAACTAGGACAGTTCTGTTGAGAAGACCAGTCTTCTACATTAGTATGCTGTTTCATCCTAGCTCTTATGCTCAGCATAGCTCTTATTTTCTGCTATCTGAGGCTATATCAACACTACCAGGTTATTTTGAAATAAGTTATTTTGAAATAATAACTCCCAAAGTAACTATTTTGAAATAGTGCGTCCACACTGCAGAGAAGCCTCAAAATTAGTCCGAGGCAGGCTCCCTTAATGTGGACGTGCTATCTCGACTTAGAGCCCCAGGAAGCACTGGGGAGTAATTACTTTGACTGACTCTGGGGATTAATTATTTCGAAATAACAGCAGCTGAGAATCCACGCCACCACTATTTTGAAATAGCAATTTTGAAATAGGTGTTGTTTCTCAGAGAAGAAGTGGTTATTATTTCAAAATAACAAGCCCATTATTTCAAACTTATTTTGAAACAACGGGCTTGCTATGTAGCTGCTCACCTTGTTATATTGAAATAATGGGAGTTATTTCAAAATAACACTGTAGTGTAGACTTGCCCTGAATGAGTGTCTTTAGCACTGTGCCAGGCATGCCAAAGAAGAAATCACGTAAATCCAGTCCTGTCTTTCAAAACCCTTTACCAGCCTAATGAATCTAATATTTAGCCTTTGAATAAGTGTGCATTTGGACCCTGATACATACATGGCTAGATACTGCAGATGAGCCTTCAATCAAGTATGTACACTTGCATGCATATTTGCAGGTGTGTGCAGGCAATGCATGGAGACAGCAAACTGGGCCCTTAATCACAATCCTCACAATGCCACTGTGAGGTAAGTAGAAATGCATAGAAATTATGGGTTAGATGAATAAGTTTCAAATTTTCTTTCCTTGAATAAAAAGTAAGCAATTCTGTCTTAAGAAAACATGGATACAAACATTTAAAGATGCTCTAACTTTTTATACATTAGGTTGGTGTTCTGCATCTCTAGTTTTTAGCCTTTCTCCAACCCATTGATCTGCTTTGAGGTGCTTCAGTGGAACAAAACAGAGTTAAACCTGGCTTAACTATATACCTGAATCCTATAGTGCTGCAAGACTGTAATAGTGCTACCTAAACCACTCACCTTCCTGCCCTACAGTGAAGAAAGCACATAGGCTCAGGGTCACCCTGGCTAATCAATAGCTGCTAGAACAGTCCCTGTAGGCTGTTGTCAGTTGATGTAAAATAGAGCAACCTAAAGTCTGGGGAATAGGTCAAAGCAACAAGGTCAGAGAGCCACAGAGATGGCTTAACACCATATTTGCCCACCCATACCAACCCTGGGTTGCATCAAGCACAGCGTGGCTGGTTGAAAGGATCTGAGCCAGAGAATCTGAGATTGCCAGGTTCCCCACTGTCCTGGCAGAGTAATTGTTCAAGAACAGTTTGTCAAATACGTTAAGGATGAACAAGATTTTCTTCAGTATTACTTAGTTGTGTCTTCTCTTTCTATCTGAACAAATCAAACCTTTTTGCTTCCTTTGTGAGAACTCCATTAATATATATCCGTGTTAGTGTCATATCGTAGTGACACAGTAAAAGACTTCCCTTCTAGATTTAAGTCTTTGTTTACCATTGCAATTGAGCCATCTGGCAGTCTTATTACTCTTCCAGCAGTGGTCCTTTTCAGGATGGAGGAATTTAAATGTGTCTGTCTCATCTTGGTATTGGATGTTTAAGAGCACCCGGCCTCCTTTTACAAATTGGCTGTGTCTACACTGGCACCCTTTTCCGTAAAAGGGATGCTAATGAGACACTTCGGAATTGCAAATTCCGCGGGGGATTTAAATATCCCTCGCAGCATTTGCATGAACATGGCTGCCGCTTTTTTCCGGCTTGGAGTTTTACCGGAGAAAAGCGCCAGTCTAGACGGGATCTTGCGGAAAATAAGCCCTTTTTCGGAAGATCCCTACTTGAAAGTAGGAATAAGGGATCTTCTGGAAAAGGACTTATTTTCCGCAAGATCCCATCTAGACTGGTGCTTTTCTCCGGCAAAACCCCGAGCCGGAAAAAAGCGGCAGCCATGTTCATGCAAATGCCGTGGGGGATATTTAAATCCCCCGCGGCATTTGCAATTCCGACTGGTCTCATTAGCATCCCTTTTCCGGAAAGGGTGAAAGTAGGAATAAGGGATCTTCTGGAAAAGGACTTATTTTCCGCAAGATCCCATCTAGACTGGTGCTTTTCTCCGGCAAAACCCCGAGCCGGAAAAAAGCGGCAGCCATGTTCATGCAAATGCCGTGGGGGATATTTAAATCCCCCGCGGCATTTGCAATTCCGACTGGTCTCATTAGCATCCCTTTTCCGGAAAGGG